GTAGCAAATGCTATTTGTTTAACACTGTAACAAAGTAGCAAATGCTACCTGAACCCAGCAATGAGAGTGAGTGAGTCTATACTAGAACTGATGGAGGTCAGCAGGTGGAAAATCGGGACAAGGCGGGTTCATGCTGAAGATGAGCCAGGGAGCCCATCACTAAGGCATGGTAGAAGCTAAAGAACTTGATCAGATATGGAGTGCCCCTTATTGGAGGGCAGGACGCTTGCTAAACTGACAGAGTGGGGGTTGCAAAAAGTGAATTTTACAAAGGATTGCAAAGATGGGCCCCAGGATATGGTCTTGACTAAAACAAAGAACTTCTATCAGAAGGCAATGAATAACAAGCATAACGTAATTATGGAGTGCCTGAAAGTGACAAATTTTAAAGGGGAAAAAAGTGCTAGGTTATGCAGCAAAGAGGTCATTAGACCTCATTTGCAATGGGCATTCCATGTGTGCAGACACCGAGGAAGGGAGAAAGTGGCCAGAAGCTCTCTAGAAAGACAGCTCTCAGGCAGGAAGTAGCCACAAAGAGTCTCTATGGTGGGGCTGCACCTGTTGAGTTCCAGGTACAATAGAACACTGTTGTGTCTGGAGATCAGTGAGCTAAGTCAGGAGGCACTGAGGGTTGAAGCACAGGAGCCTTCAGGGCCTTCCCTGCCACTGCTAGCCGGCTCTTGAATAAAAGCAAATGAAGATCCTGTTAAGCTGTTATGGGGTTTCCAGGAGGAGTGCACCACCTAACAATTCACATCTGGAAATGGACACTCTGGTTCCTGCCTTGAGATCAGACTCTGAGAGACAGTCCAGGCATCTGTGAGAAGAACCCAGGTGACAGGCAGCAGTGGCAGGTCAGGAGAGGTGGCAATTGGGAGATATAAGCAGTAGAGAGTCTGCTAGAACCTGAAGCTGGATCCCAGACAGTCAAGGACTGTCAAGATGTGGATCCCAAGAAGTGGTGAGATCATCATTAGTTGGGGTTTTTTGGCCCATGGGAAAGACAGATCGGGGAGGCAGTAAGAAACTAAGCTCAATTTGGAACACAGTAGGTTTGGGATGACTATTGACCCCTTAAGTTGGCATTTGAGTATACAAAGGTGTCATTCGGGAAAAAGCTCTAAGTGGTGACTGACTGGACTCCACCAATGAGATCCAGAGGAAAACCAGGAACTCCAGATCTGAGCCCAGAGGCTTCTATCGGCCCAGGTCTAGGAAGAGGAGAGACTGAGGCAGAGGAGGAGAAAGAGCTGACAAGGAAAGTGTACCTGAGAGACCTACCTGTGCCAAGAGGGTCCTTCCAAAGCTGAAGCTAGCAATGATTTTTAATTTCTGCAATCCTGTTTAATTATATGCAATGATTAATTAAAGACTGATCACTCAGCAAAAGCCTCATCGTTAAGCAAAGCCATATTATATACAAAACAGGGTGGAATCCACATCGCATTGAACTCACAAACATTTCCAGGTTATAATTTACCCCTTACCTTTTAATTTACTTGTAATTAAAGTGAAGGCATTTTCCCACACAATACACAGCATGGTTAATCCTGTTGCTATTTTTCTCTCGGCTTTTGCAAAATGTGAGCACTCTGCCCTACTCTAGTTTATCGCTGGCCTGTCACTTAAAACACCTGGATCTTTATAACCACTGGAGATTAAAGTCATAACTCTCCAGGCCTGCAGAATCACCCTTTGTTACGTGCTGGCTTGAGTCTCCTTAGTAACTAATGCCTTGCTCTGGTGGGAAGATCAAGTGGGAGGAGTCAGCCCAGTAAGGTAAGTCAGGCCTCTTCCTCCATTCCCTTATTGGTGCCCTTGCCCTCTGCAGCCCCAGGATGGACATCGGATGGTTCAGCAGTTCCAGTTCCTGGGCTGGCCAATGTACAGGGACACTCCCGTGTCCAAGCGCTCCTTCTTGAAACTCATCCGCCAGGTGGACAAGTGGCAAGAGGAATACAACGGCGGAGAAGGCCGCACAGTCGTGCACTGCTTGTGAGTATTCCAGGAGCTCTCACACCTTGGGCTGGGTGGCATGCCCTATTCCTCATGCAGCTCACCTTCCCCCTGCTGTACATACAGAAGAAACAAGCAGCCCCACAGAGTTTGATTTAGTTCACCATTTTAAATCTAAGAGTCTAGTCCTGGTACCTGGGACTCTGAGCTCTTCCTTCTTGTGTCTTCCTGGCCATGAGGTAAGCATCCTTCCTTTGCCTTATGCCTGCCTCGGTGGTGCACTGTCTCCCCATGGGCCCAAAGCTACAGGGCCAGCCAGTCATGAAGAGGGAACTCCACAGCTGTGGGCCATCATCTCCATATGAGCTGTTTATTCCAGAGTTTATAACAGGGACTGAAAGTTGACAAGCGCAGAACCAATGTCCTCTAAAGGGGACACCTAGGGTAACAGTTGTAGCAGGTGCTAAAATGTAAAAGCCGCCAGCCAGATGCTCCCCAATGGGACCTGTGCAGTGGCAGTCGCTGGGGAGCTTCAGTAAGCATTGCCTTCAGGCTACACTGAAACCAATTAAATCCCAGTCTCTGCCCAGAACCTGGGCATCTGTGCACTGAAAACCCCTGGATGAGTCCCGCGTGCTGTCAATGCTAGGAGCTGCCGAGGGGAGAGCGCCTTGCTTCCCAGAGCACTTTCACCCACACTTTCTCACTGGCAGCGATGTACAGCTAACCATCCAGCTGGAACTGGCTTAACGGAACAGGCAATTAACTGGCATGGCAGTCAGGGAAGGTGCTTAGACATTTGGGCCAGTTCAGAGTAGGAACATATGCTGCCTTTCTGAGGAAAATCCGTAGAAGCATAGGACAAGATCATTCCCAGAATGAAGGGCAATGACCTTTTCTGCTGACCAGACCACCCAAAGTTTACATGGCAAGTGGGTGAGGGGCAAGGTTATCCCCGGCTCCCTGCCCTTACCTCAGGCAGTAGAAGCCTGAATTCTTCTCACTGCCTTGGAAAGAGTCTTAGGAATATACTCATCCCACCAGCCTCCACCTAAGTCTCCCTATTCTGTCTTGTGTGGAGAAGTATACTCATCCTCACCATGGTCTCCACTCCATTCCTATCCATGGGCTCAATGCTTCAGAAATCTATTCCATCCCCCTTCTGACTTGTCAGAATAAAAAGAAGGTTTGAAGGTTCGCCATACTCAGAGGATCAAGTCGCAGCAGCCTTTTTTTTTTTCTTCCCCAAGCCAAGGCAGCCGTCTTCCGGCAACTTGCCAAAATGATAAACACATACTGAAATCGAATAGGCACACACTATATATTCTCTAGGCCTTTCAGGAAATACAGAGTTGGACTTGTAGGGGCAGGAAGCCATGTATATGGGAATCTACAAGAAGGATAATATTGCCACCATCAGAGGAATGGGCACTGTTCAAACAGAAAAGCCCAGTAAATGTTGCTGTGACAAAACAAGAGTCTGCAACATCACTCAGCATGCCGTAGGCATCATTTTGTAAGCAAGTAAGTTAAGGCAAGAGCCTTGCCAAGAGATGTTTTTGGTTGAGCCTATCAAGCACTCTGTGAGCCAAGATGGCTTCCTGAAATGAGTAAAGGAAAACAACCAAAAGGAAACCAGAGAGAAAAACTCACGGGTTCAGCTGCTGCTCCAGCCTGCCCCATCCAGAGAAGCACACTTAGTGAGGACCAACGGGAAGGAGCCAGGGCTGCTGGAGCCCGTTGCACATGAATTCCTAGCTAATGTGCAAAAAGAAATAAAGAACCTAAACTATTAAAAAAATATTTCCAGGAGGGAAATTAACATCCAATTAACTGTGAGGTTTGCACAAAGTTGTTTTTTATTTGTTTCATGGTCCTGGAGATAGAACCCAGAGCCTTGGGGATGCTAGGCAAGCGCTCTACTACCAAGCTGCAGTCTCAGACCAGTTGTTTATAATCTTAATATTAAAAGTAGTTGTCAAATAGCCCTTCCACAACCAGAGAGCCTGCATCATATCTGGAAGCGTAACTTATTTTGACCCTGGACTAGCTTTCTAACCAAGAGCCAGTCCTTGAACCCTCAAGAACAGGTCGAGAGTGGGGATAGATGAAAGGGAGGGGCTCGAAAGGAATATGCCAAGACCTGTTACGTCACTGCACCTTGCAGACAACACTCTTCTAAAAGGCAGCTATGACCCTCAAGCTAAGCATCATATCACGTTCTGTGTGGTGTCTCTAAGACCAGGCTGTTTGGCTGTCACAGACAATGGTGGGCACCTGTCGTTCCTCTCCTGCCTACCCGACTTCCCTTCTTATTTTATGTTGGGGCCACCACCCCCTCAAGCTCCCGTTCCCGTAATTCCATCGAGCTGCTTCTTGCTTTCTTGGTATAACATTGGGTGTGATACTCAATCCTGTAGCAAAACTATGTTTTGCTTTGCTTGCTTGCTTGCTTCCTTCCTTTCCTTCTTTGCTTTTCCTCTCTTTCTTTCTTTCTTTTTTCCTCAAGCCTACAAGAAAGTTTAAACTGGTATTTTCCAGTATTGGTCGGAAGGGTATTAAAAAAAAAAAGTTTTGGATGCTGTTCAACAGTCCTCCGTGAGGCATTCTGCATGGTGCAGCACCACCTATTGGTGAGGGCAGAGTACACCTGCATGAGAGCTTTGCAAATGGGGTGGTTCCTTGGGCCAAATAATCAGGGGAGGGTATGTAGAGAATTCTCTTCCTTATAAATATCTTGCTGTTTTTAAAATAAGAATATGTCCTCATTCAAAAATTGTGGAAAGAGTGGGTGTGGTCACAAGCAGCTGTTGAAACAGGAGGTAAAGAGCTGATGAGCCAGGGCAGTGGAATAATCTGTACAAAGAGCAGGCTCAGGAGCAGAGGCAGATGCCCCTGTGTCACCTGACCTCCAGCATGTGACTGCAGGGCAGCAGGGACACCAGACACATCAACCTCACTCCTCATGTGTGAAGAGAAATCCCTTCAGATGTATCACCTCCAACTGTTGAAAGCAGAGAGCAGAGCTTCCATAAGAACACGTGGGAGAAACTCATCCTGAGCAGGAAGTTAGCATAGACTAAGTGAAAGAGGGTACAAAATACTCCACCAGGGAGGACTAGTGACACTCTAAATTTCACTAACATGGTGAACTCTGTTTACAAGGTGTGCGTAGATAAGGAGAGAAAACATGAGGAGGGGCTGCAGTACACACATCTGCAAACCAGAAGTGTTTAATGAGCAAAAAGTTGGACACGGATCACACTTTAGAAGAGAAAGCATAGCATGTAGCTTCATGGTAGAACCCTTGTCTAGCAGGTGCAAAGTCCTGGATTTGATTCCCAGTACTAGAGAGAGAAAAAAAAAACCTATCTAAACAATGATAATCAACACCATTAGTTTGGTTTTAGTGGGAAAATACTCATCATAACCACTGCATGCTCACCAGAATGGCTAGATTTTTGAAGACACAAAACAATGATCCCACGGGCTGGTGATGCTATAGTACTGTACAGGGCACAGCAGTGTAAGGAAGGGGGTCAAGGCTGACCAGGACACTATATGTGAATCTGATAGAGCCAGTGAGTGTGTACATTTGCAAAACTTAATTCCAGTATCTATTGGGGTTATATGCTCAGTGATATTAAACCAGCCACGTTAGGCCAATGAGATGGCTCATCGGGTCAGGACCTGCAAAACTGAACTCACCCCTAGAACTCACGTAGAAGTGAAAGAAAGAAGAGAATCTACTCCACAAAGCTGTCTTCTGACCACCATATTTACACCTTGTCTCGCCACACCATCCGAAAAGGAAGAAAAAGAATGAAAGAAAGAGAGAATAAAGGAGAAAGGAAAAAAGAAAAGATATTTTATAAAGTGCTATTTGCTTCAGAGTGATAGCAGTGTCATGTTTAAGAACAGGTGAAAGGCTAGTTACCTCCTCACAAAAGAAGCTAATGCATTGCAAGTACAAAAAGAACGTTCTAGAAAATACAGATAAGCTCAAAAAAAAAAAAAAGCAAGAGTATGCCATACAAACACGAATCCCAATGGACCCCTCATGCTAGAGCTGGAATGATTTGAGGCAATGATAATAATGACTGATCTAGATTTTAGCACACCTAATACAGTTTTCAGCTTTTACTTATCATTATGTATTAGACCAACCTGTCAAGGTTGGTATAAATAATAAAAGACAAAAACATTTTCAAAGGGTAGGAGATAAAGCTACTTCTTATGATAGAATGTTGAACACAGGAAGAAAATATAAAGCCAACATTAGATAAATAACACAGTCATAATTAATGGCTAAAAGCAAGACATGCCACACTTTGTGTGAAAATCAGGGGTGACTGAGGAGAATCAGTTTATTTGCACAGTCCCAAGGTATCTCACCCTGAAACATGTATTGACTACAAAGAGAAGGACAATAACTTGACGGTGAAAATCCTCGCCAACACTGTCCTGTGGGTAAGATCAACATCCACATCCTGGGACCAGGACACATCAACACATGAATCCCATAGAGGCTGTAAGACTCCTGCTCTGACTCTCTTCACAAAGTCCAACCCCTCATCTCCAGTGACAAAAATATCAAAGGAACCCCGAACAAAAGGACAGTGCACGGTGGGACTTGGCAGGGACCTTTTCAAACTGTAGCCAGGACACACGACGGGTCTCTTTTAGCCCTTTCTACACCCTGATCTTTGTATTCTACAAGGCAGCCAGCCAGATCTCGTCAAAGTAGCCATATGAAGAAAGACAAAGGAAAGGTGATAGACGGGTGACCCATCACAGACTGGAGAAGGTCAAAGAGATGTGAGAGACAACTGAATGCAAGATTAGATCCTGGGCCACGAAAGGGATCTTAATGCAGAAACTGGTAACAAAGATGGAGACCTATAGTTCAGCCCACAGTGTGGTGGCACCATTCTTCCTGACTTTGATGGTGGGTGGTGGTTACATAAAATGTACACCTCTGGTTGGGCAAGGGAACTCTGTGTGCTATATTTGCAATGGTCCCACATGTTTAAACTAGTTGTCTTTTGCTTGTTTGTTTAAGATTTTAAAGAACCTTCATGTTTCAGGGATAGAGAAATTCAAGTAACCTTCTTCAAAGGCCAGGTGTTTGCACATAACCTCCCTTTGTCATTAATTTTCCCGACAGATTTCAGATGAGATGTCTACTCATAGAAATTACCCCGCACTGGGCCCTCCATATAAAAATCAGTAAGGTACCATGTCAGAAATAATAATCAGGGTCACAGATAAAGTGAGGCTCGAACCGTGGGCCACATCTATGCCAGCTTGTTCTCTTTGCACCTGCATTCTGACCTTTCTCCGGGGTTCAGACCATATGTCTCAGGTTATATGTGAGAAGCAATGTGATGGCAAATATTGTCCAACCGTCTCATTTCTTCTGTGGCAGGAATGGAGGAGGCCGCAGTGGTACATTCTGTGCCATCAGCATTGTCTGTGAGATGCTCCGACACCAGAGAACTGTGGATGTCTTCCATGCTGTCAAGACATTGAGGAACAACAAGCCAAACATGGTGGACCTCCTGGTAGGATGTCCCTCTGTCCTGACAAATAGGGTATCTCAGAGATGGTATCAGATTCCTCTCCAGATTCCACATTGGAGCTGTTCACTCAGGAAGGAGACTTGTAAAACTGATTATCAGTATTCTGTATATTAATTAATGATGGAAATTAGTATGGTGGTAGTTATTCCTTGACCAGCTAGTTCCCCAAATCACACAGACATTTTAATATTTCAAAGCTTAGACCACCTATCCCCATCCAGCCACATGGATAGCAATACCTTCTAGGCCCATAGTAACATCCATCTCCTCCAATGCCTCGTGATGGAAGGCCTTCTTCCTTCTTCCTCCCAGAGTTCCTTTTCCTCTCCCAGGAAGTCCCACCTATTTCTCTTCTGCCCAATCACAGGCTTTAGCCTTTTATTGACCAAGTAACTAGGGAGCACAACAAAAGCTGGTATACATGAAAATGTACTCATCTTGGGACAACCAGACCTAGGAGTACAGAAATCAATATTTGAATACATAGAAGTACAGACCAACCCCAACAGAGCCTCATTTCCAAAGCACAGCCTGTTGTTTGGTTCATGGCCTTTTTCTTTCTTTTTTTCCTCCTCTTCTCTCCTCCTTCTTTTCCTTGTTTTCAGAGGAGACTACCAAAGCTTGGTTAAAATGTAGAAATAGTTGAGACTTACAAGTGAACATTCTTATTAATTTCCCTTCCTGGCACCTTCCACGTGGCTAAGCACTTAGTCTTAGTGAAGAAGAAATAATCATAGTACAAGAAATGCCAGATTTTTCAAATTATAGATTTTATAAATAGCTTAATCGTCTAATATTTATCAAAGCTGTGAATTTCAGTTTGACATGCGGAATATTGCATTTAATTATGGTGGCCACATCTGAGGAAAGCATTAAAGGAGTTGAGAAACAGAGAACTAGGTGCAATTATTTTCTTAGAGTATTTCATAAAATCCCGTATTTTTTTTTTCCTACATGGAGCTGTTAGGATGCCAGCCATGGTGACTCAAGAATAGAAATATAGATTTGCAGAAGAAGCTTTGCTCCTGGGTTCTGTGCATCTCTGTGATGTTGGAGATCTGAGAGGTACCAGAACACCAGTGCAAGTTCTGGGCAGTGACTTGAAGCAGGGGTGAGGGAGGAAGGCATTGTGTGCTGAGCAAGCTTCACCGTGTTCTGAGGCCCACAGTTCTGTAAAACTGACTACAGTTAAAGTCCAAACTGTAAAATGGGGCCAAGAGCTGAGCTCAGATTGATAAAGTAGCCTGAGGTGCATGTGCTATGGGAGATGTTACTGCACCAGTACTCAGGGCTAGGTAATAGCAGCGACCACTGACCACCAGCTCCTGGAGGCATAGCTAAATCCTACTTAGTACAAGCTAGCTCATATTCCACATCTAAGAAGCATGTTATCCAGGGACTCTGGCAGAAGGGCCCCATGGCTGGGTACATGCCCTCAAACCTATGAGCCATTCATCAGCTCTGCTTCATCCATTCATCCTGTTTCCCCAGATGTTTTCCCCTTCTTTCCTGCCCTGTAGGAAAACCACAGAAACCCAAATTAGATCCCCAACTGTTCTGTTAACACGAACTCTATGACTTTGGACACATGAGCTTTGCAGCTTTAGTGTCCTTGGGTTTTACCTTTATAAGCCAGCGGTAGTGGTAGCTTTCTGAGATCAGGCAACATGCAGATACCTGTGTATGTGTTTGGGGCATTGAAAATCAGAGAAGCATCGTTATTGGGTGTGTAAGTGTCCACTGGGCATCATGGTGCCTTTGTGGCCCTTGGGACAGGAGGGCTAGAGAGGGAGACTAACATCCCCGTTAGTGTGACACTTAGGGTGTGCCAAGCCTGGTTTCTAGCACACTACAAATAGTAAGAGGCTTCATGGGTATGAGGGGCGTGTGTGTGTGTGTGTGTGTGTGTGTGTGTGTGTGTGTGTGTATGCAGACTTCCCTAGAACAAGCTAAAAGCTGTCACATGAGAAGCAGAGTCTTCACCTTTCTGGGCTGAGCAGAGAGCAGTCCTAGTCAGCAGTTGAGATGAGAGAAGGAGATCGCCGATGCAAGACTTAACCTCAGGGGTAGATTACACCTTCAGACTTTGGTTAGTACTTGGGCAAAACTGCCCTGGATAAAAAATGTCAGTTCCCTCACCGAGCCTGAATTAAGCAGCGCATTAGAAGAACACCCTTCCAGGCCTTTCCTGTAATGGCCCTGCCGAGGAGTTCATCACTCGGGAACTTTTATGGTCAGAAACAATGAGGATTTTTTTCGAACCAGTGGTTCAGACTACTGACCACGGCGATTTTTCATGAGATGAACATAGACTCAGACAACTGACCAGAGGGAGCCTGTATGGTAGACAACTGTTCTATAACAGTGGTGGAGTTTGGGTGGTTATACGTAATTCCCTCCCACCAAAGGAATGTCTTTTTTTTTTCTATTGACTTACAGTAGTTCAGCATGTTTATAGGGTGCAGAGTGACATTTCAAAATACAAGTGGACAAGGTGTTCTGTTCCCTCGGGCTTCTCTCCCTCTCCCTTTCCCTCTCCCTCTCTTCTTCTCCCTCTCCTCCTCTCCCTCTCCTCCTCTCCCTCTCATCCTCTCCCTCTCTTCCTTTCCCTCTCCCTCTCCTCCTCTCCCTCTCCTCCTCTCTTCCTCTCCTCCTCTCCTCCTCTCCCTCTCTTCCTCTTTCTCTCCCTGTCTCTCTCTCTTTTTGGTGCTGGGAACTGTCCAAATTCCCTTTGATGCTGTTTGGAAATATTTAACTTGTTGTCACCAACCATGGTTCCTTACTGTGTGGTACAGCTTGGGTAGTCATTCCTTCTACTCTGTATCCTGCAAAATTATGGATAATTCTAGTTGAGAATACAGGGTCCTCAGGAGCCCAGAACACTGAAGGTCAGCACCAATCTTTTGAGAAGGTCAGCGACAAAGAAATGAAGGAATTTTCAAGATTTCCAAAGAAAACCATCTGCCCGTCTGTCACAGTGACTGTTAGCAAGAAAATAGATAATAGCCAGTGACCAGAGGAAAAATGTCACGGTGCTCTTTCTCTCTGGTTTGAAGCTTACCGAGCAGAATGGGATTGTATTTGGTTTGTTTTTCATCCATGAAGCACAATATCTCTCTATTTTAGAATTCCTAAATGTTGGCTAAAGGAATCAATTAGCTTGGGTCGGGGTAATGAGCTGTGATGTGACTACCCCATGCGTATCAGGCTATCTGAGATCTGAGTGGGAAAAAAAAAGATGGCCAGCCATTAAAAAGAGTATTGAATATGTGGGCTACATATTTGAAGAATGAGCATGTTCTACTAGCTTCAGAGCAGTAAGCAGCCAGTCAGGAAGCAGAGTGAACTGAGTGGGCACTGATGCCTGAGCCCCACTGGGTCTGTTCACACAGCTCATAGGTAGGAGGATGCCTACAATGGTCCCCTCCATCTGGAGCCCTTCCCACCCTCATGGGAAGAATACTTGGGGATTCTTCCTGTGTCTTTCCTTTTCACTTTGTGGCTCTGATGGCTCTAAATTGCTCCAGACTTTGAAAGTTTATACACTTGTTTTAAAGCCTAGCACTCTCAGGTATACCTAGACTACCCTAGAGGTCTTTTACCTCACATTCTTGGTTTGGAGACCTAGGGAAAAGACAATAGATTGTGAGGTGGAAAACTGATTTAGAACACAGGGGCAACAGAGATGGTTCAGTGGTTGAGAGCACTTTGTACACAAGTATGAAGGCCTGAGTTCAGGTCCCAACATCCACAGGCATGGTCTCACAAGTGCCTGTAGTCCCTGCACTGTCTGGGGAAAATATAGGAGAATCACTGGGCCCTCCTAGCTTCCAGACTAGCCAGAAAAAAAACTTGTGTTCCAGGAAGAGACAGACACTGCCCTTAAGGAATAAGGACACACACGCCCCTAATAAAAATAGTAATTTATAAGGTAGAACTCTTTTCTACCCAAAAGTGATGGCTATACTTTATTCTGACCCCATTGTAGCCTGGCTTCAAAGTTAACCATCCCTACATTCTGGGTTTCCAAAATGAACAAGAAAAACTGTGCCTAGTTAGATTCTGAAGCAATGGCCTTGAAGCTACCACAGGAAAGCTGTCAGGATTGCTTCAATGGCAGGTTGTGGCAGGTCCCAGCAGATCTCAGCAGCCCCTCAGCCTTGCTCTCCTTGCTGGGCTCTGTCTAAACCATCAGCCTCTGGGAATAGTGTTATCTAAAGGTGACACTAGTAGGTCCCCATCTGCCCAGGGCCTTGCCCAGAAGTTGGGTGGCTGGACTTGTAACTCCCTAGATATCCTGTCCATGGCAAAGCTGGCCTTACATGGAAATACACTCTACTCTTGAGCTACATGTCAGCTGGGGCTTCCTACTTTTTGAAATCCAGATAAGATTGGCCAGGTCCATGTACAAAATGGGACATGACTACCCCTAAGGTATGGCTGAGGAGATTTTTACTGTAGATATGAGAGAGAGCACAGCAGAGGCATCTGGGGAGAGAGAGGGGAGTGAGGAGATGAAGAGAGAGGGGACCATAAGAGAGAGGCAGGAGGGCAAAGAGAACCAGAAGGACACATGTTCAAAATAGCAAGGTCATATAGGAATAAGAAGCTGGAGGAAGGGAAGCCTATGGGCTGGAGAAATTTAGGATAGGAGGCGGAGTAAGAAGAGCTGAGAGGAGGCAGCGCGTCAGCACCAGACTCTGTAACACACACGGCGGTTCTCAACCATCCTAATGCTGTGATCCTTTAATACAGTTCCTCATGTTGAAGTGACCCACACACACAAAGTCATATTTGTCACTAATTCATAACTATAATTCTGCTACCATTATGCACATGTCTGTGTTTTCTGATGTCTTAGGTGAACCCTGTGAAAGGGTCATGAACAAGGCAGTCATGACCCACATGCTGAGAACTGCTAACCTAGGGTTCAGCAGGAGCTTTGGTATACTAGTAGGCACCACAGTTAGCCGTATGTCTGGAATTTCTTTTGGACCTGACAATCCCTACCCAAATAGAGGTCCCTGGCCCTTCTCAGGGTTTCCACAAGAAGCCTAGGAACTTCCAAGCTTAGTCATCATTGACACCCAACACCCATCACAACTGCACCATGAAAGCCTGCCTCCAAACATCACACCTGGCTTCCAACCACTTGTTCAGTGCTGGGCACCTGCTGCTAACTAGAGCACACATCAGGTGCCATCATCATCCCTCACATCCTTCCTCTGTAAAACGGGGCAGAAGAACATTAAGTTTGTCAGGGAAAAAAATTGCCATGTATGGCATCATCCCATGATACCAAAAGGTCTAACTAGATGACATCATGCAGACAGGAAGTAAAATAGTGCTTATTAAGGGCTGGAAGGGAGAGAGAATGGTCACCAGCTGCCACAGGGTTTCTCTACTGGGCGGAGAAATGTTGGAATTTACCTCATGTTCATGCCCAATTCTGTAAATATTGAAAACCATTGAACTATGTCACAATTACAGTTGATTTAACTTAGAGTCTGGCTGGGCAATACCCATCCTATACAAAAGAGTGAGCCTTCCAGTTAATATGCAAGAAAGAAGAGCCGATCAGGCATCTCAGGTTAAGTACCAGGAGCTGCCTTGTTTCACATCAACTCAGGAAACAGAGGCCCTCAGCAGTCACTTGCCCATTTCAAATTTCAGTGTGATGTGTAGCCATTTTGTTTCTGATGGTTGAAGACAAGGTCTAACCCACTGTAGCCACCTGTTGAGTAGTGCTGAGAAATGACTAGTCTCCCTGACACAGGTCACCAAAGTGACCTACTGGGAACCAACAATCTCCACCCACAGATATTTGCAGATAGGGTCCATTTCAGCTCTCTAGTGGGAAGATTTCCCTGCCTGAAGAGCCCTCTTGCCATTGTGAAACTTGTCTGAGTTTCAGACGGGTGTCTCTCAGAGGGAAGTTTGCGTCAGGTAAGTTGGGCAGACTATTCTCTTTGAATCTTGAGCAATTGACAGGATGTGTTTGAAGTGCCCAGACTGAGTCCCCCCCTCTCAGCTCCTCCAGCACAGGCAATGTGTACTGACAAAGGCATAGTGCCTGCCCTTCAAGGAATGCCTAAGAACTGCCCTCAGGAGCCCTGGCCTTATGACTCTAGTACTCAGCCAGCTGCCTGCCAGGACTTTTAAAGAATGATCTCAGCTTTGGGTTCCATTTCAGAAGTCACCTTCTCCCTCCTTACAGGGCCAGAGCCAGTCAGCATCAGAGAGTCTAGATATGAATTGCAAGCGGTTCTGATGGGAATAGGACCTTGATGGGCCCCTGCTCCAGGCAAAGCGCTCCATACCTGCAGCTACAGTCTGGGTTGGGAAAACTCGGGACCAAGACATTTTTTTTTCCAGAAGCATAGGGATAGCTCGTGTGGCTTAATTATACTATTCAGAAGCAGGGTGCTGAGGGAGGAAACCACAGAAGACAGAGCTGTACCTGGTGATCAAGTGTAATCAGTTTCCAATGTAGGAAGATTTGAGGCATTTACCCAGGTGCTTGGAGGAGGGACATAGCAATTTGTGGCCTTTCTTTGCCTTCCCCTTACTTTTACGATTCAGAAACTGGTCATCACAGAATCTGTGAGGATTGGCAGCTTGCACAGATGGATGAGCTAGGAAAAGGGAAACTCATTTTGAAAATTATAATCATGCCTGAGACAGGGCAGCTCTGGTGACTTCCTGGCAATAGAGCATTAGCAGAGAAACCTTAAATCCTCCTGAGTCTCCGCCTTCCGTCATGACCTGAGGCAGCAGCCACAAACACCTACTAACCGCCTTTGAGTGTGTTAAAAGGACCATTTGTGGTAGTCACTGAAACTAATTGCCCAGTTAGATCTGAAAAGAATCATTTTTATGCAATGAGGGATTACATTTCCATAAAAAAAAAATCATCCCTAGGATTCAAAACAGGAGAAATGAGTGGAGCACTTGGTGGCCAATTTGTCAGCCGCTGCAATCTGACAATTCGGCCTTTTAGAATTCTAAAATCCAAATTACTTCTTTTTAAACATTCTGAAAATAAAGGCATCCAGCACTAAAATAATCAATCATAAAATGCAAAACCAGAAATAGAACTTTGCCCGGGGTGAGTAATGGTGTTTCCAATTCAAGAGTTTAAGAAAAGCAACCACAAAGAGAAATAGTAGTTGGTTAGGGAGAAGACAGACTCCTTGAAAGACATTTCCCATCTACCCCCATATCCCACACTGCTGTCAGGACGGTGTGTGAGCACCACAGAGGGCTGTACAGGTCCCATTACTTCCCCCTCCGTGAATCATGTGGACTGGCACCACTGACACTGGAGTACAGGAGCTTATACCACTGGAGCTGCCAATCCCAGAAGTGCTTGCTGGTGCTGTGTCACTACCGTGCCAGAGGAAACACACCACATCAATTGGAGGCAAGAAGGAAACCTCAGAACTGTTCAAGAACTGATGTGTGCCTCCCAGAAGATCTCAAATATGTCCCTTATTCTCCTTTTGCCTTTACCCAGAATTCCTGGTTTAATCCCATTTTAAATGATCATGTATCTTTATCATCTGAAGTGGAGGATGCTAGTAAGTCCAATGGCAGGACAGCAGCAGAAATCAAAACTGTGCAGACAAAACCAAGAATGTGACTCCCTTAGCTCCACAGATCCTTCTCCTCCAGCCCCTGGGTTACTCATGTAACTTGAGAATGGGAAGATTTTTTCAGTCCACCACAGCAGAGAGGACATAGCAAAGCCACCCATGCCACCCAAATCCTGATGGCAGAAGTATGTGACACAGGAGCTGTTTGATGAAACAGAGACCAAGATGTGAATCGGGCAGTTATAACATCTCCCCTAAGGACCTGTTGCCAGCGAGCAACCTCTTCCACCCAGGCCCTTCCTCCCAAAGTGTCCAGAACCTTCCACAGTAGTAACATCAGCTAGAGACCAAGAATTCAAATCATGAGCCTGTGAAGGGCATTTCAGATCTGAACTATAATGTACCATTCTCCCCAAAGATACCTGTTCTCATCTCCAGTGAACCCACGGCCCATGTTGGGGACATTCCTTCTTATGTGCTAACACTGGGTTATCTGTCCCATTTCCACCTCTACCTCAAACTTCTCAAAAATCAGAGGCCACGTTAAGGTGTACAATCATTAAGAGGACCTTAATCGATTCTCACGACATTAAAGAAATCCTCCTGAGTACAAGTTCAAAGGAAAGCAGGGCCTTCTCTACAAGTCTGGTAGGAACCAGGCATGCAGGCATTTCAACCAGTCTTCCTGGTCTCTCTGACTACCTCTTGATCTTCCTTCACAAAGCTCAGAATGTTCTCAATACCCTTGTAAAGCACATAGGGACAGCATACCATCATCTATTGTTATCCATGAGGTGTTAGTTCCAGGACTCCTTCCAGATGCTGTGTGTGTATGTGTGTGTGTGTGTGTGTGTGTGTGTGTGTGTGTGTGTGTGTGTGTGTGTGTGTATGTGTGCGCCCGCACATGCAAACACACACACACACCTTATATAAAATGGCATAGAGTTTACATATACCCCACACACATCCTCTATGTGTGGGGAATATACTCTAAATCACCTTTAGATGACTTATAATAGAGACTAGAAATGCCATACAAATAGTTAACGTACCTTGTTGTTTATGGAATAACAGAAACAACAACAACAACCTTACTAGTTTCACACAGCAGCAATTCTTTTTCTGATATTAAATGTCATGCAGAACCCAAGCATCTTTCAGCTACACAGGACCTCCCAGAGCACTGACGCACACAAGCACTGCAATTCTCCAGACCTTGCGGGGAAGCACCATCAATGAATACACTGTGGCTCAAAACTGTTACTTTCTGATTCATTCCTAATTCATGGCTTTATCTGTTTGTGTTAAGAACCCTCACCCGCTGTAATTGCTCTGACAGAGGCAGCATTTGCATGTAAGCTGATATTCTCACCTTCCCTTCCAGGATCAGTACAAGTTCTGCTATGAGGTAGCCCTGGAGTACCTGAATTCTGGCTGACAGCATCAGCAGCCCTGCAGAGGAATCCCTTCCTGCCACAAAGTCAAGGAGTTCTACGGCGTCCATGACGAGAAGATGAAGAATTGTCAGTATGCTTATTTTGCTTTGCATAATTGGCTCTTTTTAAGAGCCCAAGAAAGTGTTTCTAAAACTGCTTGCACTGCCCAGTTCCCTGTAATGCTGCTGAGTGATCAAAACCCAGCAGACAGTCCCAGAGACTGGACTCCTTGCCACTGGCCCTGTTACAGCAGCATAGATATGTGGTCAATCGAAGAGCACAACTATATTCTTATGAAGGAATTTGTACCTTTGGGGTATTTTTTTGTGGCCGTGACCCTTTGTCATTGTTACAACCAAGTGTATGTTTCGTTCTGTGGAGAATGCTACCTGGCATTATGATAATATATTCTTTTAGTTAATATTTGTATTTTAACATGTTGCATAATACAAGATTATATAGCTTTCAAAGACTAACAGATAAAGATGTAATGAACAGAGACACATTGTATGAGTTGTTGTTTCTAGCGGATTTATATGGGTTCTAAGAGGAAAGCTGGGAAGGCCTCCGTTCAAAAATGTAACCTTGTCAGTCACAGATCCAAAGCTTTTCCATTTGTTTATATTGTAAATATTTTTGATTTCATCAAATTATTTATTCATTAAAAGAATTTTTTGTGACGCACAGTGGGTGACAATCATTTTTACTAAGCCCAAGAAATGACTGATTGTATGATGTTACCTTTTTGTGAATTCTCAACTCAATAAATTATGACCCTTGACCAGTCTTGCTGTATTGCTAGTGTCCCAATAATGGTGGAAGCCACACCCCTCAGACTCCTCCAGTCAGGGAGAACTTGTACCTGGAACCTTGTCTTGGTCCATGTTTCACTTCTGATAGGCTGGTTAATTTATAAACTTACATCATGCATATATTCAGGCCATCGTGGTGAGAGGCCAAAGGGGCAAGCATGCCCAGGAAAGATGGAGCAAGAGATAGCTTTTGTAATGAAGACACTCCTACAGTAATGGCCATAGCCCATTCAAGGCCACCTGTTAAAACTCAGACCTCCCAAAGTGTCTGAGTTTACTGTGCATATGAATTTTGGAGTGGGTATTCACATCATAGCGGTATGTCTATTGTGCAGGTAGAGCTGCGAACCCTGGGACTGTGTGGGTGTGCCCTGCCCTGTGCTTAGGAAATGTGCTTCAGTGTTTACCTTTGGGTAGAAATGCTAGCTATGCAGAATGGAGACAAGGGCCAGAGCAGGAATTTTCTAACCAGGAGTAACACGAGCCCTCCTGTCTCACCTCAGTCAACCCTTCATTTTTTTTCTAAACCTGAACTGTGCTGAGAGAGCAACTTTTACGGGATTATTATAATCAGTATGTTTAATTAAAGCAGGACAAATAGCAAATCTAAGAGTCCTACCACGAGGAAAAGTCGCTGTGTGTTGAAACATGATAGCTAAACACTATGCTCCATTCTTTTAACCCAAAACCCAAGGCAGGGGTACTGTGGGTGGGAGTTTTAAATTTAAACTGTTTCAAGCAGTATTAAATGATTGCCAGTAACTGATGGAGGCCAGCCTCTATTGGATGATAATCTGCATCAGCACCATCCTGTGTGGAGGTAGGTCCTATCCACACCATGATCTAGGGAAGACTGAATCTCATCTGGGGGAAGAGGGGACTAAATCTCATTTAGGAAGGCCTGTGAATGTCATTTGATAGGTGAAATGACTCACCTTAGAAAATGGTAACTAAAGGCATACTCCTTAGTAAGCTCAAAATTCCTTCAGAGCTCGAGGAAAGTGGAAGGCAGCAGTAGCATCAGAATGGTCTAGGAAAGTGGAGCCATCATCACTGGAGCAAGTGGTAAGGGTACTCCTACCTGGGGAGCTTGATGACCAAGGACAGAGTGAATGGAAGGTGTTTACCAAGAAGACAAAAGTTGATATCAGTATGTAAGGCTTTGCTCAACTGAGCAGTCCGCCTACCCTTAATTTCTACCAATGTCTCCAGACCCTGCCTCACAGTGATGGGACCTTATCTGCTGTGATGGTTTGTATATGATTGGCCCAGGGAGTGGCACTATTAGAAGTTGTGGCCTTGTTGGAGTAGGTGTGTCACTGTGGGTGTGGGCTTTAAGACCTTCATCCTAGCTGCCTGGAAGCCAGTATTCTGCTAGCAGCCTTCAGATGAAGATGTAGAACTCTCAGCTCCTCCTGCACCATGCCTGACTAGATGCTGCCATGTACCCACCTTGATGATAATGGACTGAACCTCTGAACCTGTAAGCACAGCCCCAATTAAAAGTTATCCTTATAAGAGTTGCCCTGGTCATAGTATCTGTCCACAGCAGTAAAACCCTAACTAAGACTGATAGAGCTATCCTTCGAGTCCACACTCAAGGTCTTATACTCAGGATTCTCCCAAGAATGAGTTCTCACCTCTCTGCTATTCCTCTGTAGGTTCCTAAAAGACTAAGATGATATTTCTGTCTGTACCTCTTAGAAAGTTATCTCTCCAGAAGCTAGAAAAATGATGAATACTTGCACCCAATGTGTACAACCTGGGCTTGGCAGTGGGAATGGGTTCTCCTGGATTCTCTTCTACCAAGTCATAAGCTCTGATCCCTAATCCTAGTTGGAAAGAGAAATCTTTGAGCTGATGCAAAATGGCCTGAGATCTAGTGGCACAGCCCATTGATTTCCTCAGACAACCCCTGCATGCCGGGCACGCACTGAAGCCAGTGAGTCCCTCTCCATTTAAATCTATCTTTAATCTCCTTTTACTTGCTCTACCTCTTAGCAGGAAAAAAAAATTTGGACATTTTGCAGCTTTTTCTTGCCCCGGCCCTCAGGGATTCGATGAGACCCTAGGGAAGGGAGTGAAAGAATGAAGGGACAGGAGACACAAAGAATGAGAGCTAGTCTGGGGTTCTGATCAAGCTCTGAAACTTTAATTTCGGGGGCAGGTTATAAAGACACAGCAAAACAGGAAGTTTGGGCAAGGGTCATTGCTTACGGCTATCCCACTATTGAATCACCATTGTCTAAGACTATCCCACTGTCATATCCTTATTGCCCTAGACCATCCCACTGTCTTAACCAGCTCCCAGGAAATGCCAGACATTCTTTAAGTTCCTGGGATCTGAGACCCTGAACGTTTCTTAACCTTGTATTGACTAGTCTTTCCAGAACAGCAGGTAATATCCTGAGGTTCTCTTAGAACTGCAGGTAGTTTCCTGGGTTTGGCTCCCAGCATTTTCTGGCTTCCCGTAGGCCCTGGCAGCATTGTTGTGACTTGTAACTTTCAGTACACAGAGGAAACCTCTGGCCTTGCAAATAAGAGAAGCTAACTCTCCTTTCAGTTGCACATTCTCCTCTCTTCTCGTGTATCTTCTGGGGCCACCTTTTCTGAGTCTCCCTGAACCTCTCTGACACACCATTGTCTGTATCTTTCCTGAAAACCAATACAAGAGCCTCACCCATTGCCCCTGTAAGCAGAGCATGCCTGTGACTCTCCAACCCTATCCTGTTATACTGGTGATCACTACGAATCTGTGCAGCTCCAAGCACCATCACCCCAGCAAGGACTCCTGCCTACCACTGACTCTACCACTACTGGGCCTATGGCTACCTCAGTTACACTGTCAAGCTGGGGATCAGTGCTGTCCTGGCCAGCAGAAGAGCAGAATCAGGAATGTCAGAGAAAAGAGGCAGGTCCTGTGAAAAGTAACCATGAGGAGGATGGAGTCCAGCCCAGTGCCCTGAGCACCCCTGAGAAGGGGGACACAACAGTTCCACATCATCATCATCCTGAACAGGGCAAACACTCACTGTGAAACAATACAATGCAGAGGAACACAAGAACACAGAATGGAGCATTGTGGGAATGGACTGACTGCAAGGGAAGGAGGTGACCTCAATCTATAGGAGCTCGCTAGCCATGCAGAACAGCTCTACCCACAAATGCAGAAGGAACTTGTGAGCCAGTGGGGAAAAGGTTGCTGCATCTGACTGGAAACAGCAGACCCAAGACATACAAATGTGGAGAAAAGGGAACTTCCAGGGAGGATGGAAGCCTGAAGCAAATGGCTAATTATAACCAAAGAAACAAAACTACCTGCTGCTCCAGGCTCTGTGGGATGGGGTTCCCAGCTACCCTTGCTGGGCAGGGTTTGCCTACACTCCACCACCCCCAGATCACAGAACAGAGGCAATTATCACCACAAGAAGACTCCAACAGAAGTGGAGGTAGGGATCCACAAGAGAAGAACATGATTGGGGAAAGTCAACACAGAGTACTGCCAGGGCTAAAATCTAAGAAGTCATTGCAGAGCATCTGTAAGAGAGGACACGGAAGATCAGCACTCGGGTCAGTGAACTCTCTGTATCTCCATCCAGTGCCCCACACAGCAACTCTTCATCTATAGAATTCCTCAGCACTCGAATGGTCCCTACTCTTCACCACTGTTGACAGGATTCCCTCCCTGCACCTCCCTGTCCCCTTACACCTCCCAAAGCCCAGAGACTGGCTTGGTCTACAGACATTGAGTACATTGTTTAAATCCTATCCCTTCTTTGTAGTCTACCCTGAACCAAAACTGCTCCTCCCACTTTTCCTTTGCCGTCATTATTCCCATTTCTCTGTATGTTTCCTATCTCCACCCCTCAGCTAGAGACCTAATTTTAAGCACTGGCCCCAACATGGTTAGTTTTAGTCTTCTTCTTCTTCTCCTTTCTACTTATATCTCCAATAACTAGCATTAGCATTCAAAGTACTATTGGAGTCCCTTAACTCTCTAGAACAACCCATCAAGTATCCATTTTATAGCCACTTGCTGCTTTGTTATCAAAAATGGGTTAACCAATCACAGTGGTTGTTGCTGAAGAAAGAACTCAGTCTACAAAGATAGACTAGATAGAGCCCAATGCCTAGACCACCAGTCTAACAGAGAAAACACTACCACAAACTATACAACCTAGTCTCTTCTAAACACTACAAATGCCTCCCCAGAAAGAAAGACAAAAAAGTGACCTGCATTAAAAGAACAACAATACTCTTAGCCAACCATCTAACTCCAATGAGCAAGACAAGAACCAAAGAAATATAAGAAGCCGAGGCAACACATCTCCTCCAAAAGCTTTCTAGCCCATGGTAATGGCTCCCAGTGAAAATGACTTAGATATGAAATAGAATCTAAATGGCTCAGACAAGCCATTCGGTGAAATTACAGCCAAGAATTTCCCAAACCTGAAGAACGAAACAGACATGTGAAAATAAGAAGCATTTAGAACCCCAAATAGATGTAAGCAGCAGAGAACTTCTCCATGAAGTAGTATAATCAAGATGTCAAAAATACGGAGCCAAGAAGCAATACTAAAAGCCATAAGAGGAAAACATGACATATTTCAGTCTCTCAGAGTAAATGACTGTCTCCAAGGGTTGCCATACCCAACAAAGTTAACTCTTAAAATTGATGGAGAAATAGGAACACTTCAAGGCAAACACAAGCTCAGGCGATTTATGACAACTAAGCCAGAACTGCAAAAAACTCTTAAAAGAATGCTGTACACATAAGAAGATGGAAAAGTAGGAGGAAGAGGACAAGAAGAAGAGGCCAAGAAGGATAAGAAGGATGGGGACAAGGAATCAGGAAAGAAGTAAGATAGTTTCAAATACAAGAACAGGAAAGAATAGAGTTTATGATGGCAACAGATGACCAGGGGAGAATGGTAAGGAATCGGAATGTGTCCAACAAAGCAATCCTGCAATCAT